AAGTTCCTTGGAATAAAAAATATTTACGATGGGAATCCCAGAATTTTCCAAAACTAAAAAACCATTCTAGCCTAGCGTAAAATTGGCCTGAGAGATCCTCAGAAGGGAGGGGAAAAAACTTAAAATGTAGAATCTGTATATTTCCTACCCTATTCATCATCACATATCATAATTAATTGTAAGGTCTGGCATAAAGGATTCATCAGGAGATTAAAAGGGATTCTACCAAAGCAAATTGCTGATATCAGTTCCTGCCTAACTGACAGACAATTTAGAGTCAGACAAGAAGATCTATATTCAGAATTAAAAACAATAAATGCAGAAGTGTCACAAGGTAGCATGTTAGGTCCACTGCTTTTACCTGTTATACACCAGTGATTTTCTGAAAATAGACATTTGCAGATGACTAAGCAGTGATGACAGTAAGACTGACCATCAACCTTTCAACCAAAATACTTCAAAAGGCTTGTAATAAATTAAATGAATGGACAAAAAATTGATAATCAAGCTCAATCAGCAAAAATCAGAACATACAAATTTTACATACAAAAAAGTGGTCGATGCATCTTGTCACATAAGGAATAAGGGCTTACAAACGGATCGTAAAATCGCTGCCAAAAATCGGCCAACACGAGAAAATTGAAGTGACCAAACTCCTACACAATCGATATATTGTTAGAAGTCTTAAGACCAGTTTTAATTAATAAATAAAATAAAATAAAAATTAACCATTTGCCCAGAAATACTCCTAGTCACTATGTAAGGATTGAGCTTGAACTTGAGCCCATAACCGTGAAGTTGCTAAAAATAATTTTAAATTTGTGGACAAAAGTATTGAGCAAGGAAAATGGTTCACTTTTGAGGAGTTCCTTTCATGATGTCTTCCTTAAGGCTAATTCATCAGCATGTGATTTAGAAGTAAATTATAGGGACTGGTTCTATCAATTGCAAAAGTTACTCATTGGTATAGGTACAAGATTTACCTTTACAACCCTGAACGTCTAAAACGCGAAAAAGAAAGTATTTTGTCGAAGTGGAAAAATAATCTCTACTCAATAGACATAGAAAAGGTGCTAAACTCAAAATTTAACCCAAAATTTTTATAGAAAAATCAGCTCCTTTTACAAATGTGAAAATTATTTACAACTAAATTTCTCAATAAATAAGAAAAGATTACTTATACAACTAAGGCTGTCTAGTGCTAAGGAAATCAATTTTTTTGTAAATGGGCTCAAATATGTAATTGACACACAATCAATGTGCTCTTTGTGTAA